TAGCAAAATGAATAAATTAAAATTTTAATATATCAAATTAAATAACATAGAAAGGATATTATTGTGATTATTATCTCAATTATAGTAATATTTATTACTTATAAAAATAAATTTGTATTATATAATTATTCGTCTATTATTAAAATAGACTAATATGAGGATTAATAAAATTGTATTTAATTTCATTATACTAAATGAATTATTGTATTTTTTAATTATCAAAGTATTATTATTATTATTAGTATTATTATTCATATACACATACTGATCTCATTTATAATGCCGACCAAAAATATATCCAAAAATAAAAAAATAATGTGGAATATATGTTTATAATAATATAATTGTTAATATAATAATGTGGAATATATTTTTATAATAATATAATTATTAATATATAGTTATATTTATAATAATGCAATCTATAATTATAATTATTTGTGTAATAAGTATGATATTTAATAAAATATTACAATCGTACTCTAGTTATTTTTAATTAATAATTATAGTTATATTTTGTTATGAATATTATAATAGTTGTGAATTCTAATTAATACAATCAAATTAATTAATTATCACCATGTAAATTATTGTTGACAAATATTATTAATTGATATAAAATATATAGAAATTGTTAATTTTTAAATAAAATGATAATTTCATTAATTCCACAAATGAAACTATAGTAAATAATTATATAATAGGAAATTTCTAAATAAAAAAAATATTATAAAGTGTTAATAACTTTAAATTTATGCATATCAATATCTATAATCATGTTAATTATTATGAATATAAGTTTTCATTATAATATATTATGTTCATTAATTCTTTATATTAATTATAAGGCATATTTTTTTTTAATATATATATTTCGTTATTACTGATAAACGATGCTGATACATTTTTTTATGTAAGTGCCATTATATTATTATAATTAATTATTATTATCAAATTAATATTATGCTAATCAATTAATTAAAATATATAATTGTGATTATTGTATGCAACACTATTAGTTACGAAAGTAAACAAACAATGAGAAAATGGTATTATCATTATTCAAATTATTTAACCACAATTACTCAAGCCAAATGATATGTTGTTGTTAATGAATTACTTCAAATATATAATTTTTATAATCGTATACAACAATATAATTATGAAAATAAACACAATAATTAGAAAATGCTATTATCATTAATCAAATTACTCAACCACAATTAATCAACCCAAATGATGTTCTTTTTATTTCTGATCAATACAATAAATTAGATTTATAAATTTAATAAATAAAATATAATTAGGTTAAATAAGAAAATAAATATAGTACTAAATTACAATAAATAAATGAAACTCATTTTGTTACCTAACATTTTAAAAGGGTATTTAAAATTTGACAGCGTTCAGAGAACTATGATGAACTAGTGTACAACCACAACAACTAGAAAACCTTATTATCATTATTCAAATTACTCAACTACAATTACTCAAGCCAAATGATGTTCTTCTTTATTTCTGATCCACATAATAAATTTAATTTATATATTTAATAAATAAAATATAATGATATTAAATAGAAAAGACACAAATAAATATAGTACCAAACTATAATAAATTCAAGCAACTCTAAATTAAAGCAACTCCTTTTGTTACTTAAAATCTTAATAGGGTGTTCAAAATTTGACAGTGTCTGGAGATCTATGATTAATTGGTATAATCTTCTTTAATTCTGAATCACACAATAAATTAGATTTAAAATTTTAATAAATAAAATATAATTAAATTAAACGAACAAAAACACAAATAAATATAATACCAAACTACCATAAGTAAATAAAAATAGTATAGAATGTTTGGAATAAAAATGTTAATCAAAATAAACAATAAATTAGATTTAAAATTTTAATAAATAAAATATAATTAATTAAATGGAAAAAAACACAAATAAATATAATACCAAACTACCATAAGTAAATAAAAATTGTATAGAATGTTTTGAATAAAAATGATAATCAAAATAAATTTAGCAATGCTTTATTTTTTATTTAATATTTTAAAATTATTTGTATTTAGTTTTTTTATAAAAATGAAGCAATAACATGAAATTCAATTTTATATTTTATTTAAATAAAAATAAAAATAAAAATAAAAATAAAATTTATTTTTGGCCACTAGATATGACGTTGTGAAATTGCAAACCATTATAAGAAAGGTGTGGTTTCTATAAGGTCGCAATCATTAACAATCCAATTAAGCGCACCTCCAAATTTTATGATAACGTAATTGTGTTGTAAAATATTTTTAGGATTATCTTAAAATCTATTTTTATATCTAATTAGAAAATTTTAAACTTCAAAAATGATTAAAATCAAGTAGATCTATAAACATATGAAAATCTTGAAAATAGACAGTCCAGATAATGTGTTACAAGATGCATTATTTATGGGACTCAATTTTTTTTTTTTTTTTCTACATTAGGTTTTTCAACATTAAAACAACCTTTCCCATAGATTTTTGAGGTGCATCTTGTGATTCTTAAAAAGTTGTGGTTTGTATAGAGCCTAGGCTCTAAACAATCAAAATAGAGCTTACCTTCAAATAGTATCGAGAAATACGATGTCAATACTG